AGGGGATGATGATGGTTCGCCTGAAAGGCTTCCGTTGTCAGAGATCCTGTCTGGGGAATTACTCTAGTGGACAGTGCTAGACGTTAGACCGTGACAATGTACATATCTTTCGACCGACACCAGGCAGTCCTCAGTTAATCTCGCGATTCGAACAGCAGTGCCAAACTGAGACATGCATAGCCCCCCAGCTTTCAAGATGGTAAAGGTGGGTAGTGAGTCTTCGAACGGAAAAAAACAAGGGAAATCGGAGTGGCCGTTCCTGGCTTATTAGTCGTCGTCAGCCAGCCATACCCAATCCCCGCAGATTCATCCCACGACCTGTTGGTTAGTGGTCCAACGCCCTAACCACTGAGCTACGAGCTCGTTGTCCTGTCGGTTGTGAACGGGCAGAGAGCCGCATGGTTGCCTGACGACGGCTAATGAGCCAGAGATGGCCATCCCAGTCTCTCTTGTCTTTGTTGGTGATGCCTATATCATGCGCCGCTGTGCGGCTGCTGGTTGGGCTCGAGAGAGAGCCCGTAAGGCACAACGGAACGAATGAGTTCCGCAAGAACGATCGGTGAGCGCCCCCTACCACTGTATATTCCCGATCGAAACCAACAGGGCAACGGGCTCGTGGCCCAGTGGTTAGAGGCGTGGACTTCTAACTATCAGGTCGCGAGTTCGGGCCTCGGGCGTTGCACACTTCGGGGTTGGGTATGACTGGCTGACGACGGCTAGTAAGCCAGAAATGGCCATTCCAGTTTCCGTCGTCTTTGTTGGTAATAATATACTGTCCATATCATGCGCCGCTGTGCGGCTGCTGGTTGGGTTCGAGAGAGCCCGTAAGGCACAACGAAACGAGGGCCCCCCGCATTTGACCAGTTGCTGAAACCCCGTTCTACTTATGTTGAATTCAGCGATCCCATCGAAAGGCCTTCTTTTTCAACGACACGTGTAACGGCATGCGTAATATTCTTTCAAAAACACTCCTTCCGCATACTGATACAACAGCGCAACCTGTTGTCGGCATACTGGTTAGAAGTCCAACGCCACTAACCACTGGGCCACGGGCTCGTTGTCTTGTAAGTTGCGGTCGGGAGTGTACAATGGTACGACGACGGCTAATAAGCCAGAAATGACCATTCCAGTCTTCCTTCTCCTTGTCGGTAATTACCTTCTGACGTGTTACTGTCAGCAACTTTGCCAACTTTAGCGCAAAGATAGAGAACTATCCTTCATCCCTCATCAGTGAGCACCCCTCTACTATTTTATATGTTCGATCGCAACCGACAGGACAACGAGCCCGTGGCTCAGTGGTTCGAGGCGTTGGACTTCTAACCAACAGGTCGCGGGATCGAGCTCCAGGCGTTCCACACTTCGGGCTTGGTTATGACTGGCTGACGACGGCTAATAAGCCAG